TCTCACACTGATCAGTTCAGTTCAGCTCAGTCACTCAGTCATCTCCGACTTTTTGCGACCCCATGGACTGCAAACCCAGGCCTCCCTGTCCATCACCAACTCCTGGAGTCTACTAAACTCATGTCAGTTGAGTAGGTGATGCCATCCAACCATCTCATCCTCTGTCATCCCCTTCTCCTCCTGCCTTCAATCCTTCCAAGCATCAGGGCCTTTGCAAGTGAGTCAGTTCTTCGTATCAGCTGACCAAAGTACTGGAATCTCAGCTTCAGCATCAGTCCTTCCAATGAACACCCAGGACTGATCTCCTTTCGGATGGACTGGTTGGATCTCCTTGCAATCCAAGGGACTCTCAAGAGTCTTCTCCAACACCACAGTTCAAAGGTATCAATTCTTGGTGCTCAGCTTTCTTTATAGTCCAACTCTCACATCCATACATGACCACTGGAAAAACCATAGCCTTGATTAGACGGACCTTGGTTGGCAAAGTAATGTCTCTGCTTTTTAATATGCTGTCTAAATTGGTTATAACTTTCCTTCCAAGGAGGAAGCGTCTTTTAATTTCATAGATGCAATCACCATCTGCAGTGATTTTGGAGCCCCCCAAAATAAAGTCAACCACTGTTTCTACTGTTTCTCTATTTGCCATGAAGTGATGGGACCGAATGCCATGATCTTAGTTTTCTGAATGTTGAGCTTTAACCCAATATTTTCACTCTCCTCTTTCACTTTCATCAAGAGATGCTTTAGTTCTTCTTCACTTTCTGCCATAAGGGTGGTGCCATCTGCATATCTGAGGTTATTGATATTTCTCTGGGCAATCTTGATTCCAGCTTGTGCTTCTTCCAGCCCAGCATTTCTCATGATGTACTCTGCATATAAGTTAAATAAGCAGGGTGACAATATACAGCCTTAACGTACTCCTTTTTCCATTTGGAACTAGTCTGTCGTTCCATGTCCAGTTCTAACTGTTGCTTCCTGACCTGCATACAGGTTTCTCAAGAGGCAGGTCAGGTAGTCTGGTATTCCCATCTCTTGAAGAATTTTCCACAGTTTGTTGTGACCCACTCAGTCAAAGGCTTTAGCATAGTCAACAAAGTAGAAATAGATGTTTGTCTGGAACTCTCTTGCTTTTTTGATGATCCAACAGATGTTGGCAATTTGATCTCTGGTTCCTCTGCTTTTTCTAAAACCAGCTTGAACATCTGGAAGTTCAGAATTCACATATTTCTGAAGCCTGGTTTGGAGAATTTTGAGCATTACTTTACTAGTGTGTGAGATGAGTGCAATTGTGCAGTAGTTTGAGCATTGTTTGGCATTGCTTTTCTTTGGGACTGGAAAACGGACCTTTTCCAGTCCTGTGGCCACTGCTGAGTTTTCCAAATTTGCTGGCATACTGAGTGCAGCACTTTAACAGCATCATCTTTTAGGATTTGAAATAGCTCAACTGGAATTCCATCACCTCCACTAGCTTTGTTCATAGTGATGCTTCCTAAGGCCCACTTGACTTCACATTCCAGGATGTCTGGCTCTAGGTGAGTGATCACACCATCGTGATTATCTGGGTCATGAAGATCTTTTATGTGTACTTCTTCTGTGTATTCTTGCCACCTCTTCTTAATATCTTCTGCTTCTGTTAGGTCCCTACCATTTCTATCCTTTATTGTGCCCTTCTTTGCATGAAATGTTCCCTTGGTATCTCTAATTTTCTTGAAGAAATCTTTAGTCTTTCCCATTCTATTCTTTTCCTCTTTTTTTTTTTTTTTTTGCACTGATCATTGAGGAAGGCTTTCTTATCTCTCCTTGCTATTCTTTGGAACTCTGCATTCAAATGGGAATATGTTTCTTTTTCTCCTTATGTTTTTCATGTCTCTTCTTTTCACAGCTCTTTGTAAGGCCTCCTCAGACAGCCATTTTTGCCTTTTTGCATTTTTTTTCTTGGGGATGGTCTTGATCCCTGTCTCCTGTACAGTTTCATGAACCTCCATCCATAGTTCTTTAGGCAGTCTGTCTATCAGATCTAATCCCTTGAATCTATTCCTCATTTCCACTGTGTAATCATAAGAGAATTGATTCAGGTCACACCTGAATGGTCTGTGGTGTCTTGTTGAGTTGGTGGTTTGTTTTTCCCTACTTCCTTCTGTGCAGAGTTGAAGGAACTCTGTGAAACATTTGGGGAGAACAGGAAGCATTCCAATTTCCAGTAGTACCCACTCAACTCCTACAAAGATTGGCAAACACAGGCAACCTTCTGGGAGTAAAAGAAAACTGAAAATATCATGAGATCTAAAAATGTTAAGAGTATATAAGTGAAGGGAAGCACTTAGGAAAATGGCACAGCTGTTGACTCAACAGGTATTTTTTGAGCATACCATGCACCAGGTGAATAAAGGAAATGTAACAGTAAAGACATTTTTCTTCTTTTGAGGTAGTTGGCTACCTTGTACATTGACTTACTGACTTACTACTCGAATTGAATAAGCCTTTGCATGCCTAGGAGCTCAGTCGTGTCCAAATCTTTGTGACCCTATGGACTGTAGCCCACCAGGCTCCTCTGTCCATGAGATTTGCCAAGCAAGAATACTGGAGTGGGTTGCCATGCCCTCTCCAGGGGATTTTCCCAACCCAGGAATTGAACCCGTGTCTCCTATGACTCTTGCATTGCAGGCAGATGCTTTACCTGGTGAGTCCATCAAATAAGCCTTTAGAAAATGTCTAACCCATGTATAGTAAGATTCAAGGGAGCACTGAATTGATAGTGTAGTGAGAGGGACAAATCTAAGACTAAAAACTCACTGAAAATGAAAACAGAATCACTAAAGTAAAGCCACAAGGGAGGCAGTTAAGAACAGAAAATCAAGTCACTGTTAGATAAAAGTGAGAAATTCACTCAGAACTCCCATGAAAGCCCTAAAAAAAAATTAAATTATGAGAGAAAATAAGTGAGAGAGACAGAGAGAGATCCCAGTGTCTAAACCTTTGGTTCATTGGAATTACAGAATTCCAGAAAGAAAGAGACAAAATAAAGAAAACTTTGCTCATATAAGAAAGACCTACTTCTCTGTGAAATTAACAAACTATTTCTAATATTCATACATGAAATATCTAAACCCCTAAAAAAAAACTGTTGAAAAAGAACCAAATTGAGGATTAACCTATCTGATTACAAGACTTCCTATAAAGCAAGAATATTTAAGATAATATTGTATTGGAGTAAAGATAGACAGAAACTGTTTTGGGACAGACTGAGGAGTACAGAATGGACTCACTCCTATATGTTCAAAAGACTTCTGACAAAGGCAAAAAATCACTTCAGTAGGGGGAAGGAAAGTCTCTTCAAAAAAATGTGAATAAATAATTGGATCTTCATATAAAGAATCTTGATGTTTGTGTGCCATACCATAAAAAAATTAATTCAGAATAGATTATGGGCCCAAATTTATAAGTTAAAATTATAAGGCTTCTACAAGCAAACACAGAAGAACATTTTCACAAGAATAGTTGAAATAAGCATATAATTTTTTTACAAAGCAATAATCAGAAAAGAAAAAATTGAAATATTAGAACTTATCAAAATATAGAACCATTGTTCATTTAAAGACCTCATTAAGTAAATGAATAGGCAAGCCATAGACTGGGAGATATTCTCAGAGGATGAGGTGGTTAGATAGCATTATGGACTCAATGGACATGAATTGACTCCAGAAGACAAACAATTGAGTCCAAACAAACTCCAGAAGACAGTGGGGGACAGAAGAGGCTGGTATGCTTCACTCCATGGGGTCACAAAGAGTCAGACACAACTCAGCAACTGAACAACAATAACTAATATATAATAAAATTTGTGTATACAGAATATATAAGAAATTCCTACAATTCAAAATAAAAACACATATGATACAATAAAATTGAGCAAAAGACTTAGACAGCTCACAAATGAGATACACAAATGGCAATAAGAAAGAGAATTTTGTGCAATACCATCAAACATTAGGGAAATGCAAAATAAAATCAAACAGGTACATACCACATATCATAATGGATAAAATAATACTGACAATACCAAATAGAGGATGTGAGACAACTAGAATTCTCATACATTTCTGACAGGGGTGTAAAATGTTACAACTATTTCAGAAAACAGTTTGGCAGTTTTTTTAAAGGGTTAAAAAATTCACCTACTCTACTGCCCATATATTTTCCCCAGAGAAATAAAAATGTATGTCCATAGACAACTTGCATAAGAATGTTCATAGAAGTTCAGTTCATAATAGCCCAAACTGATAACAACCCAAATGTTTAGCACCAGATTTTTGCATTTCACTCTATGTAAATTTTGTGTCATAAAAATAAAAAGTTACAAAAGGAAGAAAGACCTGAGTCTGAAAATTCACAATGTGTTTCATGTTCAAAGAAAACCTAATCAACAAAATCACACTTGGTATAATTGAGTCAGATGGCTCAAAATGGAGTGAAATCAAGTTGCATACAGATTTCTTTCAATGACACTCAATCACAGAACACTATGTAAGAATATTTCTACCATTACTAATTAAAGGGTAATCATGCCAGAATTCAGTATTTGGCAAAGTTGTCATTAATGTGTGAAGTCAATTAAAATACAACCTCAGGTATGGAAAGACTCAGAAAATACACCAACCACCCAAATATTCTTCCAGAAAAAATCTAACCCAGAAACCAAAAGTCTAGGTTTATAATACCAACTTAAATTAACAACAATCAGGAAGGAATTTGGATCGGAATCTAAATCATTGTAGGAAATAAAACAAGCAGTAAAAGAAAAATTGGATTAAAAAAAATGTAAGAAACACAGGCAGAGAAAATATGATTTTAAAAAGGACTTACAATCCTTTATTGAAGAGATTCTTAAAAGGACTAAGTAGTTGGCATATACAGAAAAATGTGAGAGGCAATTCTATTGCAGAGGAGAAACAGAAAATCATACTGATTTCCTATTTACCATGTCCATGTAGTGTCATTTACTACAGGTTCTTCCACTGTAGAGTGGATCCTTCATGCGCCTCATGAGGCTGACCCTCAAAACGGTGGCTTTGGCAGCGCGAGCAGGAGGGCTGCGGATCCCTGCCTTCTCCCCAGACCCCAGCGCTCTGCAGGTGAGCGGTGGCCGCCGCGGAGTTCCACCTCCACGTCCCCGCCAGCCCGGAGCCCGCGAGGGCAGAAGGTTGGTCCCTATCCGGCGAGAGGATGGTCATCCGTGTGTTCATCTCCTCCTCCTCGGGCTTCGTGGCGATAAAGAAACAGCAGGATGCGGTTAGATTTCTAGAAACCACAAGAGAGAGGTTTGAGGAGGTGGACATCCCAATGTCAGAAAAGCAGAGGCGGCGGATATATAACATCCCCTGGAGAAGACACCTGCTCAGGCAACCCTCTGCCACCTCAGATGTTTAATGATGACCAACACTGGAGATTATGACAGTTTATTTGAATCCAAGGAGAGCAGTACAGTCCTTTCATTCTTAGACCTGAAATCACAGTTGGCCTCAAAAGCAGAACCTGAGTGAAGACAAGTGGAAGAGGATGAAGATGCATTTCCGAGTCTCTGCTGGTACTCAGCACACAGCTGCTAACCTGATGCATCACTGTGACGGAAGCCACATACATGATCAGTGACTCTGCTCCTCATGGAAAAGGTGTTTGAGGAAGACGGGTCTAATGGGAGTACATGATTGCTTTAAACCAACTCAGGACTGTGGTGGGTTTCTTCTTATTTTTCAGAATCACCTGTAGTTGCCTCACTTTACCCAGAGGATCTGTCACCTGCTCCAGTTGTGCTTCCTGAATGACTGAGTGATAAGCGGGTGGAACCATCAGAGAGAAAATACTGGATCTGCCCTGGTTTATAGTTGATGCCAGGATTGCTCAAACCTGCTTCTCTTCAAGCTACCTAGGTGATAATCCTTGAAATTAGTCTGCCAGGCTATTAGAATATTTTGATCAGAAAGAAAAATAGCAATGTTGGTTGACAAAGGGCTGAAGGTCTTTGCTGCAGAATCAAATATCACTATTCCAGTGCTTTGTCATAACTGTAGAAAAAATTAGATGTTCTAGCCTCCTTTTGGTGATGGAAATTCTTACCCCCATAAATCCTCCAAGCCCCTCCTGATGTGTCCAGAAATTACAGTTGATTACAGTATGTGATCAGAACCAAGTTATAGGGATGAAAAGAATTGCTCTTTTGAAAAATATATGCTTCTTTATCTCTTGCCAGGGGCAAGTCTCACCTAATGCTTAAGATTGCTTAAAAGATATATTTTAAAAGGTGCACTAATCAGATAGTAAATGTATAAGGACATTATCTGACTTGTATCTGAAAGTATTTCAGCTCTGGCAACTTAGTATGCATAAGTGCACATATATTTTAAAATGCAGCCCCCCTTAACTAGTAGCTGCTTATATATTTTGTGAAAGGATTATAATTTTTGAGAAAGGAAGATCTTGGTTAGAGGTATTTTGTGAACCCTTGATGAGGCATATTAAAAGATAACTAATATTGCTGTACATTTTAATATTTTTCCCTGTGTTACTGGCCCTCTAACTGTGCCAACTCATAGTTATGGCCACTGCACAGTCCCAGATTTTCAGAGTAACGTAGGCACATGTTCTCATTCCCTTATAAGTACCAGTGATTTTTCAGAACAGAGTACATACAGGAAAGAGGCTGTCAGAGATTCACTCTGGAGTGTACACGGCATGTGAAATCTCTCTTTGAAGTGGTTGCAAATAATTACTGAACCTGTCTACTTCATTAAGGCAGAGGTTCCTTTTTCTGCAACCTTGTCCCTTCTCACACTTTCTAGAGTTTTTAGTTGCCAGCCTGGGAATAGTCTTGCATAGGATTAACTCTCAGAAGGCTGCCTACAATACTCTGTTCTTCTCAGCATTCTGATGGTAGACTTGCCTTTTAGATTCTGAGCAGGAAGTTTGTAAGAAAGGAAAAGAGCAAAAGAATTACGTTCCTGTAACCTGTGTTCTCTCTCCCTCCAATTTGCTAAATGTGGACTCTAAAGAACTTGCGGAAGCTGACATCCCAGCTTGAGGTTTTCAGTCCAGGACTACAATCAGAAGAAAAGCATTCCACTGATTTCTACTTGACTAGAACAGACACATAATCCACAGTTTTCTCTGCAAGGAAAGCTGCTGTGAGTATGAGTGCTTAGTTGGCATTAAATACAATCCAGGTCACATTCCACTTGATAAATCCCAGGGACTATTCAGGAAATTGTTTTTGAACTGGATATTGTGTTCAAGTCTGATAAGACTTAGTATTTCTTTTTAAGATACAGCATTTTAAAAAATTAATGTTACAGTGATCTAACTTATATTTTGTCTGCTCTTGCCGGTGAGTACCAAAAAGCAACTTGATAGGATTGAGTCTTTGGGATTTAAATTCTGGGGTCATAGGATCAATATAATACTTGCCAGACCAAGAAAGCTACTCAGACTTGTTTGGCTCAAAACCTTTGAATTACTCTGTAGTGTATTCTCCTAAGCAGACTAGATGAATAGGAGGGCTAAATTATTATCACAGTTACACACTATGTTCACTTGCACTTTTTTTTTTTTGGATCAGCAAAGAAATTGGAGAGACCAGCTTGAGTTGGTACTGTGCTTGCTACAAGTGAGCCAGAAGCCCATTGTGTGGCATTTCCCATGGTATCCATGCTCTGTGGAGTCCTGAGGGTATTGCTCTCTGGACTTAACTGAACCACAGCTTACCTGAGCCTGTTCAGATAATATCATGCCCTTGTGGTGTTTTACCAGCTAAATTCCAAACATGTAATGATTTTCTTCATACCTTCTTTAACTAGCTGCCTTTGGATCTAGATAATCACCTAGGAAAGAAGTGGATGGGAATTGTAGACATAGATATTATATCAGGAGCATTTCAAGACAGAATTTTTCTTTCCTATAGCAGGCTTATTGGGGCATAGGAAATATGCTGCTAAAACTCAGATTATGCCTTTTTAAAATTAGACAAAATATAGAGTTATATATATATATATATATATATATATATATATATATATATGTGCAATTTGAATTTTTGGAAACTTTGGCTATGTTGTCAGCTTTGGAAAATGTATCCCAGTTTTATTGTGTTGCACTGGCATTGTACAAAAATTAACAGCCATATTGGTCTAGAAATGTCACTGTATTAAATATGTAAGGTCTTATCTACTTGGATTTGATTACAGAAACTAATAAAGGAGTCTCTAAATTTAAAAAAATACATGTGACTTTGACTCTTCAATCTCAGTTTCAATATTTTTTTCCTGCCTTTACTTCCCTAAACACTCAACTTGTATCTCATTCTCAAAGGACCTTGCCTTCTCTTAGTTAGACTGTGGTACAGAGGAAGAACAGGATTCTGGGATTCAAGGAAATCAGAATTTCAGTCCAAGCCTTGATCATTTCCCAGCTTACCCTAACATATATGTATTTTTTCTGAGTCCACTTTTCTCTTGTATAAAATTAAGATAACGTTCCCCTCAAAGAGGTATTTGTGAAAATTGAGTGATACCCCAGTATCATGCCTCAAATATGGTGATTAATGAAAAAATGTGTCTACTGAAAATATTTTGAAAGATTAACTTTGGTACATTTGCCTTTCAACTAGAGTTTTGATGTGTATCAATAAGTGTATTAAGGGATTTCATATAAATTAAATAGTTTCATTTAATTACTCAAAAAGGAATGCATTTCTAAAGGTAGAACTTCAATTTGGGAGGAAGTCCTAAAACTTGGGCCAGTTTATGGCATTTCTGTGTCCTCTTGATAATTAAGAAGGTGTCAAGAATTATAGCAATGAGAATTTAGGATTCATCTCATTAGAAATTTTCACTTTTGTAAAATCAAGTGTCATGGAATTGAAGTCTTGAGAGCTGTCCAGAGAATATAATTATTACATATGGAAACAAACCCAAAGAATAAGTATCTGTGGATAGAATTCACCTGCACCTAAGGGAAAAGATATGGAGACTTTCTTCCCTTCTGCTCTGTTGAAACTTCCTTGTTAGTGTTTAGCAGAATGATACAGCTTAGGAACAGCATATTGAGTGGGTATTTTCAAGTGTTTTGTTCACACAGCTCAAGAGAGGAGATTACAAAAAAAAAAAAAAGAAAAAGAAAAAAAAACTTTATTGCAGTTAGAAATACAGTGGATCAGTCAAAGATCTTGAAAGAATTTACAATATCCCCACACTAACTGGACTTCAAGAAGCTCCTTCACTTGAATTGACACCCTTATGTTAACATTTAAAGTTAGACAACATTTAGAAAAACATTCAACCTTCCATTGTCCCAATTCACAGAAGATAAGTAATAAAGCTCAATGAGTCTGCCTGGGTCAAAATGTTGAAAACCTTCATTTGATCACAGTGACATCTCTCTTTATTTAATGCTTTTTAAATACATCTGAGTTCTCACCACTTCCAGCATTTGTGATCCACTGAGAATCTCAGCCTCACTGTTCTTAGTCTGCTCTTCAGTAAAAAACGAATTGCAATACCCATACCACTCACCTCACTGAATTATTTGGGAAGATGACTGAAGATAATATAAGCAAAAGCACTGGACACTAACACTCTGTAGCAAATTATAAAAGTGTCCACAGTTTTTTTCCTTCCTTGCAGCCATTTATTTTTTGCTATGTGTATTTGAATCTTTTCCCATCAACAAGTGCATTTTCCCACCTCTAGAAGATAGACTGACCTTTTGGCTTGTACTGACCAATAGACTGTGTCAGAAATCACACTGTAACAGTTCTGACCCACCTAGGCCTCAACAGACTCTGCAATCGTCTGATCTCAAGGACTGGGGTTGGGGGGACGTGGTCAAGGTCCCCGTGAGCCAAGTCAGCTGTGTGTAGCTAAGCGTAGATCCTCAGTGCTCCCTGATCAACTCAGACTCATGAGCCAGCCATACATGGACTACAGAGCTGAAGACAGGACAACTCTAGAAGTCTTTGATTATGCTTTCTTTTTATGATAGTGGTTGGCATCCTTAACGAGTTAAATATGAGTTTGTAGAGGCTCAGACACGGAACAATCCATGGGACAGAATCTGGCCTAATTCATTAAATTATGGACCTTAGAATTCTTGTTAACCTCCCATGTAATTCTCCACAGTCATGTCCTCCTGCCCTTAACAGTTCGTTAGAAACTCAATTATATTCTTTGGGAATGAGTTCTTTCCTCCAAAGCAC